CATTTTTGTGTACAGAGATAAATCCACGGACAAAACGTGTCATCTATCTTTGCCGACGTGTCGTACACGATTCCACAGAGGAAAAACGATATCCTCAAAGTTTCTCATCGGCCACCCGCTACACGTGAAACGAAAGATAGAATTCGATTCGAAGGAAGCACATTCAACGGCAGCTCGAGGAAGTCGTCGATGGTTTCCTTTTCATTTCACTGATTTACTCTTGTGTTCATCCGTGTTCATCCATCGAACGAACGAACCATTCGAATTTTAACATTTAGAATCCATCGAGTCCCTTCCTTCGCGTATCTACTATTCTACAAAAAGAAAAAGAAAAAAAAAAATAAACTCTGAACTTCGTTCATTTAAAAAAAAAAAAATCATCGAATATCGAATTTCAAAATCAGAATTCTCTCAGTAAGTAGAATTCTATCTATGCTCGAAGAAAACAATTGGTTTCTTTCCTTTTTTTTTTTTTTTTTTTTTTGTTTTTTAATGATTCGTTGAAAATTACGCGAAGAAAGGGACCAGGGGAAGTTGTTGAAACACGGAATAGGGAGCATTGTTGATCGTTGGGAGGAAAAGTTTCAAACGGGATTCTTATTGGAATCACGATCCGAAATCATAGCGTTTAAATGATCAAATTGTGTTTAAAAGAAAAAGAAAAAAGAATAGAAAAAAAAAAAAAAATTATAAAACGCATAACTGTACGGTCATGCGATACGTTTTGAACGTTGGCGTGTTAATTATTAACGACGATTATGATGATCATGATGATTATGCTGCTTTCAACATTGTACAGTATCGAATAAAAATTATAGTGCGTAGTCAGAAAAAAAAAACAGACAGCTAGTAGAAAGCAAGGAACGAAAAAGAAGTGGACATTTTTTATACGACTCTATTTTGGCTACGATCGTGTTAGGTTTTTCTTTCTTTTATTACGTTTCCGTTTCTCTCTCTCTCTCTCTCTCTCTCTCTCTCTCTCTCTCTCTTTCTTTCTTTAATTTTGAGAAAAAATTACAGAAGAGAAATCTGTCGAATCTCGATCGCGGTCGTAGCCAGAAATAGTCGACGATTTTCGATTGAAGTTTTCGATCGAACAAAAAATTTCTCATCGTAACCATGAAGAGAAGGATTCTTTTAAAATCTAGTATCTATTTAATTCCAATAGGAGGTAAGAATATTGAATATATCTTCTCCATTTTATTTTCTATTCTTGTATATCTCTCTTTTTATCAAAGACAATCGTCATAATTTAATCAATTTGGAATGTTTCAGTCGTAAAAATATACTGGTTCGCGTTTTTCCTTCCTTTCTTATTTAAAATATATATATATGTATTTCTAACACGTTCGTCAATTGTCAATTGTCACAGACAGATACATAATTCTTATTTTGCTCACATTTCTATGTAATTATTCAAAGAAATTAGACATCAATTTTACTTTTAACATCTTGCTCTATCAGGCTTGTCAAAAATAAAATATTCATTTCATCTTCACAGAACGAAACAAAAAATTCTTCGCTCGATACTTTTTTCCAATTTAACTTAAATTAATTTAAGAAAGAATCTGTTCACATATCCACCTGTCTAACCAATTTTTCTTCCGATACATCTTACATGTATATCATCTTATATAGAAAATATCTTATAAAAGAATACACAAATCGAAAAATAACATTTTTACACTACACTAAATTTCCAATTTTCCTTTTTCTTTTCTTTTCCTTTTTTTTTTCTTTTCTTTTCTTTTTTTCTTAATAATATATTCTCGTATAATGTAATCTCCGAAATAATTTGTGCGATTACCTTTTTTCAGCGAAATTCATGCCAGAATCGACACCACCACCGCCACCCTATGCCTATCCACCACCAGGTATGCCAGCTCAGGTTCCGGGTGCAGCTGTTCCGGGTGCCGCACCAGCCGCTGCACCAGGAGCTGCAGCGGGAGGAGCGGGTGGTACAAGTGGGCAACAGACCGCTGGTGCAGCGTTAGTTGGCAATTTGAACGGCATTCACAGCGTGATGTAAAGAGAAAAAGAAAAGAAAGAAAGAAAGAAAGAAAGAAAGAAAGAAAGAATATTACACTTCTCCGTACTGTATCGCAATAAGAATTTTCCATGCTAATCTCAAACGAGCGACGTGATGTCTATTGGCGTAAGCATATAAGTAAAAGATATACTATAAAGTGTTAAAGAAAGAGAGAAAGCTTCGATCGATTCGTTAGACGCGTGTCCAAAATTCTGATCCCACAATCACAGTACAGATTTCTTTTTGACGTTTACAATAAGATAGAGGAAAGAATCGAATAAATTAGAATATCGATGAAATAAACGTTTGATCGAGGAACGAACAGCTAACGCGTTAACTGCCGCGATCCGCAATGAAGAAGACAAAGATAATAGCTGATTCGTTAAAGATATTCCCTGTTTTCAAGCAACCGTTAATCGTTATCGTTTTAACCGCATCATATCGATCGCAGTGCATACAATCTGAGAACTTTTCGAGAAAAGAAGAACGAAAAAAAGACGCGTGGTGCATATTAGTAGTTCCTCTGTGCAGTTGTTATGTGTTAAAAGTACGCTGCAAAAAGAAAAAAAAAAAAAGAAATTATAAAGTCGCAAGTTCCGTAATAGCTTTTAGGGACAATTTCTGTATATTATTCACTTCCTGTTTGGTGGTGAAAGCTTAGAAAATCGGTAGGGAAGTTGATCGACCCTCCCATAACGTTTATTTCGTAATGAAAAAATAGCGAATTAGAAATAGATATTTCTGTATGTCTGACTAACTGAGAATTTTCAATTCACGTATTCCCTCGTATATGATGATCCTAGCCAAAAAAAAAGTTAAAGAAGGAACGAATGAAAAATACGAGAAAGGGTACTGTCCGTGTATTAATGGAGAAAAACATGTATATCTACGTATATACGTGTATATGTACATAAATTATTACGAATTATCGATGTAAGATTGAATTATACATACATACATATATAAATAATATAACTTATAAATATACATAGTAGATATATTGCGACGAAAAAAAAAATATAAGAAAGAAATCAACAAAGAAAAAGAAATAAATGAGAAGAAATAAAGGAGAGAAAGAGAGAGAGAGAGAGAGAAAGAGAGAGAGTGAGAGAGAGAGAAAGAGAGAGAAATTGTTAATATTAAATATTATTATTCTTTACTTTTAGCAATCCATAAATAAAAATTAGTATTATTATCCTAAATAAAAGTTAATAATTGTATCAAGAAAGATAATTTTCATGTTAATTATATTTATGTGAACGATCCTTCTTTACGAATCCTGTTTTCACAAATTTTAGTACATAACTTACAATTAGCAATAACTTATAATCGCAATATATATACATATATAAATATATCACTCTTTATTAACATGAGACTATGGATTATTAATATTTTTCTTAAAATTTTATGATTCTTAATATCTTTCTTTGTGCAATTCTTAAATTGGCAAATATTTATACTTTCTATGAAACGATATATAGGATTTTAATAGAGCGAGAGCGAATATTAACTTTGGAATGAAAATAACGAAAAAGATTCGCATAAAGTTCAACCTATATAAATGCTCCCTTTTTCAAAAAAGATAATTCATACTTCATTATAAATCGTACCAATGAAAGAAACGATGATATATTTTAAACATGATAAATCGAATTAACAACTGTTTTAGATTACTTGTATATTTCTCTAGAAACAATAAATTATGGTCGAAAGAGGAAGCATTTGTGGATAAAGATTTTTTATTATTTTTATGTATGAAATTGCATCAAGAAAATGTTTAAACAAAATAATATCCGAATATTTAATTATTGATGAATATAGCGTAGATTTTTGTTAATTACGAAATAAAAAAAAAGGTTAAAAAAGATATTTCGATGATTACACCGCGATAATAATTTCTTTTTTTAGAATAACTCACAATCTCTTAATATCCTCTTCTTAATGGCCTAATCAATTAGAATTTCATTCATTTGTTTGTTTATTTCTTTATCGTTTAAAAAAAACACTCGATTTTCATAATTAAATTAAAAAGATTATAGAAAAAATACAATCATTCATAATAGCAATTCTTTTCTTAAACTTTGCGATTACTCTTACTGTATTCATATGCGTACATTGTATGTACCATAAACTTATTAAATATTCCACAGAATAAATTTAAATTTTTGCATTCTCACGAAAAAAAAATGGAAAAAATATCTTTTAACAAAAAAAATTATACAAATTAAAATGCAAAAAAGTGAGGGTTATATACGAAGTTTATCGAAAAAAAACCGATAGGATTAATATATCCATTTTTTGCTACATTGTTGAAATACGAAAAAGATTTCAGAGTATAATAATCGTAAAACATTTTGCTCTGATTTATTATAAAATCAATCTCTCGAAACATACTTTCCTTGTTCTTTGCAATTAAATTATCATTCCATATTCCCTCGTTACCCTTCCTTTTTCTCCAAAATGCTTATTATTATGTCTACAAATCGAAGAAATATTTTAATAATTTAAGATATTTGTAAGTATGACGAAAATATGTAAGAAAGCTTTACCATATAGGTAGTTAATGTATTATTACAAAATATAAAGATACAATTAATAATCGCGATAATTGATTGAGTTGAACATCATTCGATTTATGATCGAGGAATCTTATATTCATCTAGCTATAGATATTACTGTAAATTAGTCTTAAATAAATATAATTATGAAAAAGAAAAAATTATTTTTTCAGAAATGTTTGAATATATTTTTATGTTTTATATTTCATGTTTATATTTTATTTGTTTTACATATATATTTTTATTATTTGCTAAATATTGAATGATAATTTTTTATTTGTATAATATTTTTATGTATAATATTTTTATGAACCTCAGGGTTCCACTTAAAACCATTACACTCTTGATATAAATGACATAAGCGCCGCCTAACGGTTTACTCTTTCATTTGTCGACCATTTGTAAACATGGCTCCGGTGAGTTTTATATTCGTAAAAAATAATTCAGAAATATTTAAAAATCTTTTAAAAATTCATTAAAAACATAAAACAATATACTTTAACCTTTTATTATGATAAAATTGTATTTACATTTTTGAAAAGATTATAAAGATGTCGTTGGATGTAAATTTCTAACCTAAAAGCGTCTGTTAATGTCTAACACATGTTAAAGAAAATATAATTTTTTAATTAAAAGAAAATCAAAATGAATATTTTTCAGCCCACTACAAAGAAGTCCAAGGGACCAGCCATTAAAAAACAGGCCCTCCGGGGTAAAGGCCAAAAGAAAAAGGTATCCCTTAAGTTCACTATAGATTGTACACATCCTGCAGAAGACAATATTATGGATGTAGCTAATTTCGTAAGTTAATTTTTATTTTATAATCACATTGTTTTTTAATTAAATTTCGATATTTTTTAAATTCAAATTTTGAAATTTTATCTTATTATTTAATATATCATAATTTAACGTGCAAATAAAATAGCTAACTTCTTACAGGAAAAATATTTACATGAAAGAATTAAAGTTGCTGGGAAAACAAATAATTTTGGTAACAGTGTTACATTGGAAAGGGATAAGATGAAACTATCTGTTAACAGTGATATCGATTTTTCTAAACGGTGAGAGTTATTCAATAATAAAAATAATATTTAATGATTAATATATTTATTTAATATTCATTGAATTTGACATTACTTTTTTAAAAAAAACTGATATTTGCACTAATTTAATAATACTTATGTAGGTATCTCAAATATCTTACAAAAAAATATTTGAAAAAAAATAAATTACGTGATTGGTTACGTGTTGTATCAAAAGACAAAGAAACCTATGAGTTAAGGTACTTCCAGATTAACAGTCAAGAAGATGATGATGAAGAAGATGCAGAATAAAGTTTTAATTGTATGATGCAATTACAGAATTATCTGTACATATTTCTACTAATAAATAATAGGAAAAAATTGAATGCATTTTATAAATAAAAAATTTTGATTGTTCCTTCATTTCTTTAAAATTAATTTGATTAGATTTCATAAATATATTAAAAATTAAATTTATTATTATTATTAAAAAACAAACAAAAATATAATAATTACAAAAATTTATGTATATAATAATACAATATATATATATATATATATAAAAGAAAATTAAATTTTATTTTATTTATTTTATAAATATTTATATAAACTTATAATTTTTATAAATATGAAAAGAATTCAAATTTTAAAATAAATTTATTTTATTTAATTATTTTATTTAATGTTGCTGATCTGAAATATTATAATGAAAACTTGTATTTATAAATTGTATTTTTTACTTTGAAAATTTATATTTTTTTGTACATTTGTATATTATTTTTGTATTTTAAATATTTTTATAATATTTTTATAATCTTTACAAATGCATTAGAGACGCTGATTACATAGAGTTGGAAATATAGAAAAATGCGTCACTAGAGGCGTAGTAGAGAAAAACATAAGTCAGTATTTATCACCAACAAACTCGTATCTATTTAAGGTTCGTTTAACTCCCCAAAAATTTGAGTATTTATATTGAAGAACTTTATTTATTTACTTTATTTATTTTTATATAGATCAATTTCCTTATGTGAAATATGTAAATGTAATTAAATTGGATAAACAAAATATGAAACATTCTATAATAAAAAAATACAAGTGCACAAATGAATAAAAAATATGATAAAACGAATAATGAAAAAAGATAGTCTTTTTCTTTATAATATTATATTTACATAAATAAATGAGAAATTTATTTGCAAATTCTATTAATTTAATAAATATTAATGCTATCATTTTATTTTTTAATAATATTGTATAATATTATATAAAAAAATTCATAGAGACGGTCCTGTTTTATCTATTAAATACATCTGTGAAATCATTTGTCTCCCATTAAATATATATTTCGTTAACATATCAAAACATATTCAAGTTATTTAAATAAATTATTATTATTATCCTATCTTTAAGTATATTTTTCCTTAAATTTCAAAACGGAAACTGAGGGACTATTTCTCGTTAGCGTAGAGTGGAAAAGTAAATTGCAGTGCGCAGACGAACTGACGCACGGTGATTGTTGTGACAGAAGTAGAGAAGAGTATCATCGTATCGTCGTATTTCCAGTTCGGAATCATTGTACAAATCGATAAGAAAAAGAATTTGGTAGCTAAAGAGAAAAAGTAAGTCCATTAAATTGCACGGCTCGTGCAAACGCGCGAGCACGATGAAGTTTCATTACAAAGAAAAACACTCTTTCGAAAGGAGGAAGGTCGAGGGTGAAAAGATTCGACGAAAATATCCCGAAAGGGTTCCTGTGAGTATCTCGTCCGAAAAAGTTAACCATTTTGTTCGTCAAGAGGAATTCATTTTTCTATCCAATAGAATGGACATTACCAAAAAAACATTGATTAAAATTATTTCTTTATGAATAATTAGACTAAATTAATTCATAGTTAACTGATTCAATCCGCATTTAGAGAATTTCCTGGTCTGGAATAAGCGAAGGTCGACTTTCTACGTCGTATATACTATTATTTCAAGATGATGCAAATTTTTTTTTTTTAATTTAAATGCTAACAATTAAATTTACCGTTCGTATCATATTTCTTTGTGTGCTCGCCTTGCCATTGCTCGAGTCTATTGATCGTACTATGCTCATATCTATAATTTTTGATTGATAAAATTGAAAAGAAAAAGTATTTTTTTTCTTCTTGCTCGATTTTTAAAAAATTTTAATGTATTAATTTTCATTTTCGTATATAAAATATGAAACATATGAAATTATTTGAATAAATATCAAATATATGTGATATCAAATGTAGATTTTAAGCTATTTTAATCGTAACAATAAACCAAGATATATTTTATGATTCAAATAATGATATGATTTTGACAGAATAATTAAAGATTTTCTTTTTATTAAAATATAATAAATTTAAAATTAAAATTAATTTTTATTTAATTGTATTATTTCATTAATAATATTAATCATTAAATTTATATTTCTCAGGTAATTGTTGAGAAGGCTCCAAAAGCAAAAATTAGTGATTTGGATAAACAAAAATATCTAGTACCATCTGATTTGACTGTGGGACAATTCTATTTTTTAATCCGTAAACGAATTCACCTTCGTCCAGAAGATGCTCTATTCTTTTTTGTGAACAACATTATTCCTCCAACAAGTGCTACAATGGGTTCTCTTTATGCAGTAATTATATAATTCTAAATACATTATAAACATATATGTGTGTATATGCGTATGCGTGTGTATATGTGTTATGGTGATGTGTGTATGTGTGTGCGCGCGCGTGTGCGTGTATGTATTAGCTATATTTACTGTAATTTAAATTTTTCATAGGAACATCATGAAGAAGACTTCTTCCTCTACATAGCATACAGCGATGAGAATGTGTATGGACACTAAATTACACAAAAATAAAAAAAAAACATCCGAACAAAAGAGCAGACAACAAAAATTTGCCATCAATAACAACGTAGTCCTTTTAGAAGCTTTTGGAAGTGTTAACAAAATTACATCTTTCAATTATTTGAGTGAAATTTTAAATTTTAGCATCATAAACTAATTTTAACTTTGCTTCCTTAAGATAAATTGGACACGTTCGTCTGCCAAATATACGAACGTTGTATTTTTGATTCCGTCACTCACCGCTAATCGGCGAAAGCTTAGGGAATCAGAATGTAAGAATCAGAGCTATGATTTCTTTATCATATCTAGCCTCATATTATAAAATTGGAAAAGCGATGGAAGAAAAATTTTCTTCATGTTAAAAAAAATAATTAATTAATTCACAATTATTACAAATATATTTACACGCATTAACGATAATTTAAAAGTTACTAATATCTAGAATGGTCTTATGATAAATTTATAACTCTGTGTAGATGTTTTATGTGATATAATTTTCTTTTATTTAGGCTAGTATTATTCTATTCACATGATTCAATATTATTTGATCATAACAAAATGGAAAGAACTTGCTGAAAATATGGTGAGGTAAAAATTTGTTGTAACGGCTGGATGTGGGCCAATAAAAAAAATATAAAAATAAATTTTGAGAATGTAATTGTTTCCCTATCTAAAAATTACACATTTCTGAAACTATAAATTCGTGACATCAAGAGAAAACGGTTTGAAATTGGAACTCGTTCATAATTAAAATGTTTTCGTCGCGATTCGTTCATTTTTAATATGTTTTTCTCTGAAGTACTGCTTTCTGGGTTATTCAAGTAGAAAATCATCTAGTTAATGCCTTTCTTTTGATGAAAGAAGTTGAAAAAAAATGGAAATAGGAAACAATGAAACGAATATTACAAATTCTTCAATTACAGAAACATACTTTGTTTCTGCTTATAATTTGAATCAAGAAGATAGTAATTGGATTATAACAAATTCATTCATAATTTTTACCATGCAAACGGGTAAAGTTCTAAATTAAATGATGCCAAGGAATGCAATAAAGTTAATTTTTTCATTTATTCAGGTTTCGGTATGTTAGAATCTGGATGTGTTTCTTTAAAAAATGAAGTTAACATTATGATGAAGAATGTTGTTGATATAGTACTTGGCGGTTTAACTTATTGGGCTTTTGGTTTTGCAATGAGTTTTGGAACAGATAAATTAAATAATCCTTTTATTGGTATGGGCGAATTTTTAATAGATCCTTCTTTAGAAGATGAATTTATGGGTCCGAAATGTGCGGCATTTTTATTCCAATTAAGCTTTGCAACCACTTCAACAACTATCGTTAGCGGTGCTATGGCTGAACGGTAATTATATAAAATATTTTGTAAAATTTTTTTAGTCTACTTGCATATCATATAATTGCAGATGTAATTTTAAAGCATATTGTTTATTTTCTTTCTTAAATACAATTGTGTATTGTGTACCAGCTGGATGGATATGGGGTGATCAGGGTTTTTTGAAAAAATTGGGTGCTGTTGATATTGCTGGTTCAGGGGCAGTGCATCTTGTTGGTGGTAGTTCTGGTAAAATATAAATACATTTTTGCAATAATTTAACAAAATATTTAAAGTATTAATTATAATAGCACTTGCATGTGCCATAATGTTGGGACCAAGATTAGGCAGATATGATAATGGAATTGATCCATTGCCTCTTGGATGTCCAGTTAATGCTATTATGGGCTTATTTGTACTCTGGTAAAATAAATAATTAAATCTATAAATAAATTATTTTATAAAGTTTCAATATATTAATGAATATAATTATACAAGGTGGGGTTGGTTAGCTTTTAACAGTGGTAGCACATATGGTGTCAGTGGACAACGATGGCAATATGCTGCAAGAGCAGCAATTTCTACGATGTTAGCAAGCATGGGAGGTGGTTTAGTTGGTTTAGGCTTTAGCCTAAATGGTCCAGATAGAATTGACATTTTGAGTCAAATAAATGGCATTCTTGGTTCATTAGTTGCAATCACAGGTGAGTTTCAATATAAAATAATTAATATTCATAAAATATTTATTGCTCTACTAATAATTTTATAGTGTCAGTTAGGTGGTTGTTTTCTTTTTAGAGCCTGGGAATCTATAATTGTTGGAATGATTGGTGCCTTTATTACATGTTTTACTATGCCCCTATTAGATAAAATGCACATTGATGATCCTGTTGGAGCTAGTGCTACACATGGTTTTAATTTTTTTTCTTAATTTTATTAATAAATATTTTGAAAATTTCTTATTTTATTAATCACATTCTTTTGATATAGGTGCAAGTGGAATCTGGGGTATTATTGCTATTGGTTTATTTGCAGACAATCCATATCCCCTTAATACTACCAATGGAAGAAAAGGATTATTAAAAGGTATATAAATTTATCTTATAAAAAGATTAAATTATATAAAAATATCTCTTTCTTTATAGGAGGAGGAGGATATTTGTTAGGTATACAATGTTTAACAGTTGTATGCTTAGCATTTTGGAGTTTTATTGTATCTACTATTTTGCTATGGGTAAATAATAGTAAATATATATATAATATTCACTAAAAATTTCTTATTTAATTAATATTTTATTATTATAGTTCATAAATAAAATTATACCAATTAGAATGAGTATTCATGACGAGCTTTTAGGTGCAGATTTAGTAGAACATCGAATACGACATTCACAGGTTTTTATTTTAGTTATTACATATTTATAATTAAAAATTATGTACATCATGATTATATATATTTTTTAGATTGGAATAAGTAGAGCCATGTCTGCTCTTCGAATTTTAGAAAAACATGAATTAACAAATGTTCATCCTGTGGGAATCAATCCAGGTAAAATGCATTTGGTTGAAAAATATTATAAAAACTATTACAAATTGATTGTTACAGGTCATGATACGTATATTAAAAAATATAATCGTAAAAATCGTTTTAATTATGGCAAACAATTTTTTCTTGAAAAAAAATTATCAAAGAATTCTCAATTGAATACAATTACCGATGCTATACTAACAGATAAAAACAAGCCAAATTTTGCTTGGACAGATTAGAATATTCTTCAAGATTGTAGTAATTTTAAATTTATTAGAAATGTATAAATATATTCATATACATGCTTTTTAACGCTTTTATATTTTACTATTATATCATACAATGTACGCGCAATCTCTAATAAATAATTAAAATCTTACACATATATAAATAAAAATTATAAATGCTAGCATATAGAAAACAATTCTATTGAAAGATCACAGAAAGATCACACTGTACATATCTTGATTAATAATATAGTATCTATACAAAAATTTCTTTTATTATAAATTTCAGATAAAATATTGTTATGAAATATTATTTGTCGTTTTTATTTATTTAAGATATAATGTTGGACGCTATAATAGGCAGGAATAGCTGCATGAAGACTATGTTACATAAATATTCAGAAAATAACAATTTCTAATTTTTTACCTAATTCAATATTATCAAATATATACTAATCTCATATTATAAATGTAAAGTACATTTTTTTGTGGTTAATTAGACTTATAATTATCTTTAGAAAATGCTTGATATTTTTTTTAATTTGATTATAATTAAAATTATATGTATAGTTTCATATATAAAAAAAACATATTTTTTAAATGAATACATACTTATATAACTATAATTATAGAAAATGTATTCATATTTTTTTTTAAATAAATATCTATACTGAAAATATGTTTTAAATTTTAAATTATAAATTTTATACTTATTTCATAAAATGGCTAAGATTGCATGAATGATATTACAAATATAAAACTTCTTAGCACCTGTAATTTTATGAATCTATTATAATTACATATTAATTACTGCCCATTGTGATACTTCTGTTGGTAATCCAGAATAATTTTTTACAGCTTCCATAACTTGTTGTGAAGTGAGTAAAAATTTATAATATTGATATTCTTTTTCAACTTTTGAATTCATGCCACTCACTGGCAGTATAAATTCTAAATTCTGTGGAAATATGTATTATATTACTTTTTATTGAAATAATAAAATAATAGTATTTTGTTTTTATGTTACAATTCTTACCTTAATATGTTCAAATGCTTTCATAATAACAGGCTTTTGAACAGTTTGTATAGAAGAATTTTGATTAGCAAATTTAATATAACGATTATAAATTGCTTCAAAATTAAATGGCTCTCCATCATAAATTTCTGTTTCATGTTTCATTGATATTATCTAAAATATATATATTGGATATCAAAAATATATCCCGTATTGAAAAAATTTATAAATACACTTACTAAACACATTTCTAATACAGATAATCCTTCAAGCATTAATACTTTGTCATCTTGAGAAAACATTTTACTTGCTTCTATAAAATCATTTATTTCTAGTCTTTGATGTTTCTCTGATAATGAAGAAACAGTTATTGCCAGAAAATTTCTAAAACTTCTTTCACTTACATCAATTTGATACATTTTTTTTAATAGATTCACCATAGTAACATTACTAACTAAACTTTTTATATAATCATTCCATACAGACCCAAATTGTGGTTCTATTATACAATCATCATATTGATGCTCTATCCTATTTACATTTTCATCATCAGGAAGACTTAAAAGATGTTGAAAAAGTTCTAAACGATCATCAAAAGCGGATGATGGTTGTTCTGACAATGACATATCTCCAGGGAATAAAAATATTTGCCGATGAGAAAATCTTGATTTAACTCTTTTTTCTAAGAGTTCTATAACATCTAATCTACAAGTCATTCCTATTACACATATTGGTGCCTGAACAAATGAAAATATAATTGATTTTCAAATCAATTTTAAATTAATACAAAATATTACACTTACTTGTGCAGATTGAGCAATATCAAATAGATTATATAACAGAGTTTGATTATGATGTTCACAAAATAAATCAAACTCATCTAATATGAAAATAACTGGTTTGGAAGACTTCTTATCACCTGATTTCAAACAATCAAGAAGAAAAGATAAATTTTCAGCAAATGTGCCAAAAACTTTACCATCAACAACATTTTCTAATTGCATTTGACGTGTAGCATCCTTTAAAGCTAATCGATCATCAGTGTGAACAAGACCATTAAGATTTACTATTAATGCATTTTCTTTAAAACTTTTCACATATGACAATTCTTTTAAAACACTATTTATTAGCTAAAAAAATAATAATATATATAAAGAAATCAAATATGATTTTATAAAACTAATAATTAGGACATACTGTTGTTTTTCCACTACCCCTAGGTCCAATTAATAAAACAGAATTACTTTCACCCATATCTACTGTTCTTTTTAACAATTCTAATATGTGCATTCTTTCTTTAACATAATGTCTGAACTTTGTTTCAGGACACATAATTTTACGCTTTAAATATTTCCTAGTTAACAGTATCATATTATCTTGGAAATCAATTGCCATATTTTTTTTTTTATTCATATTAATTTGCCTGAAACGCGCCAAAAATTTATATTAATTTTTTATCAAATTTTTTTTATATAAATTAAAATATAATTGCATAGCAATAATTTTATTAGAATTATTTATAATTTCAAGTATGTATAAACATATATATTACAATTTTGTATAAACTTAAAATATAATTTGACAATCGTTTAGCATTCCTAATTTTTAGTCAAATATAACCTATTAATCGTAACAAAAAATGTATATAATATTTTAAGTATGTATTTATTTTTGGATTTAACTCACTTAAATAAATTCGATTTTGAATAGTTGAATAGAAAATCAAAATAGTATTTTCACAGATTCTAATCCTTAAATAATATTAAATATTCAAGTTACAGAAGTACTAAAACCAGATTGTTTACAAAACAAATATGGAAGACGCAGAATCCAAAACAGATAAGAAAAATTGTACGTTCTTATTTAAAAGAAGAAAAATTCGAAGCACTGCAGCTAGAAAACGTAAAATAGGAAATAACGAAAATGGTAACGTATACTTAAAGAATATCAGATTTTTCATCTCTTGTCTTATTAAATTTATAATTTCATTATATAAACTCGATTAGTATAATCTATAGGTTATGTTTAATGCCATAAATACTAATTTTTTTATTTTTTTAAACAGAGAGTAGTGAAGATGAAACTACAGTAATTAGGAAGGAAAAGAAGCAGGATGATAATAATCTTATGAAACAAAGTGTAAGATAGACAATCTTTTCTAAAATTATATTTATGATATTTTTTAATAAAATATAATAAAACTAATTATAATACCTAATAAAATTTGAATTAATAAAACTGGAAACATGGTGTAAATATAGTTCTTTACAGACTAATACAAGGAAATTAAAAGATCAGCAGAAAAAAATTAACAATGACAGCAGTGAAGAAGAAAGTATTACAGTATCTTACAAAAGTTCTAGAACGCCTATGCCAGCAGGACCAAGTGATCAAGGAGCAACAGCAATTTTAGAAACAGAGACAGAAAAGGATAAGGATGCTCAAGCTTTATTTGAAAAAGCTCAAAAAATAAATGAGGTACATAATGCAATGGTACAAAAATATATTGAAACAACATTATAAAATATAATAATATTTTTTTAGGAACTTGAAGGAAAAGAAGATGATAAAATATATAGGGGTCTGAATAATTATATCCAATATTACAAAAAAAAAGATACAGCTGCTGGAAATGCTTCTAGTGGTATGGTACGTAAAGGACCAATCAGAGCACCATCTAATCTTAGAGCAACTGTAAGATGGGATTACCAACCAGATATATGTAAAGATTATAAAGAAACTGGTTTCTGTGGTTTTGGAGGTAAATAGAATTAAAATTTTGTTAATTTATTAACAAAATTATATAAATTTTCATTTATTTTGCTTATTTACTTATTTTTATTTTCAGATAGTTGTAAATTTCTTCATGATCGTTCGGATTACAAATTGGGTTGGCAGTTAGAAAGAGAAGCTGCTACAGGAGAATATAATAATAGTGGAGACGAAGATGATAAAAAATACGAAATTAACAGTGATGAAGAAACATTACCATTCAAATGTTTCATTTGTCGCAATAGTTTTACCGATCCTGTGGTTACAAAGTATATACTATAATTCTATATTTCAAATTTAACTAGATACAAAATGTATAAAATGAATTTTTTTTTTCAGATGCAAACATTATTTCTGTGAAAAATGTGCTTTAGAACAATATAGAAAAAGTACAAGATGTTACATATGTAATGTACAAACCAATGGTGTATTTAATCCAGCCAAGGAACTAATTGCACGAACGAAGATAGAAGAGAAAGCGAAAACTGTAGAAGATGATGAAATTTCTGATGAATAAAATAAAGCACATATATTGTTTATTTTTAAAATAGTTATATTTTTTTCCGAGCAATTACATTTTCTTTTATGTAAATAAATTTATAAACTTTGTTATATGAAGAAAATTTAATTTCTATAAGATATATCTGAATTAAAAAAAAAATTTTATATAGGAATTTTTTTTCTAAAATAAGTTTTAATTTAATTTTAATTTAATTTACATTTAATTAATTTACGAAAAAAGAAAGTAAAATTTACGAAAAAGAAAAGTAAATTTAAGAAAGTAAAAACAATAAATATATATATTCTAAAGTTTTCATCCATAGAAAAATTGATTATAATTTAATTAAAAAATTAAAAGCTAAAAAGATAGATTGACAACCCTTGCTAATAAAGAATCCAGATTTGGAAGATCTTCATGTATGAGCCGTTCTACAAACACTCGTCGAGTTGACGTCGAACAAGGGTCGAGGGGAAATATAGTGGTGGTTTCGTTATATATTCGTTATAGAGCGAAGGTGATTCTAACTGGTCGTAGTTGTTCCCTTAATCGATACACGCGCAGTGTTGTTTGTCTCATACTATGGAAATGTTACCGAAGCTGCTTGTTTCTCATGAACATTAAAAAGATATTTAATTCCGAGATATTACAAAATTATTTCGATCAGAGATATTAATCGAAAAATGTGAAGTTATAGAAATATAAAGAGATTGTAAAACAAAATAATTATTGCCAAAAAAGTTCGAGAATTCTCGTATTTTCGACTCTCGTATTCTCGTCCTTTCATTGATTTCTAAAATATCAATGCCGCGCGCAAAAATCCAAAGGTGTAATGTGATCACATAAGAAAATAAAATCGACATGAGAGTATATTTTTCATAATTAATCATAAATAGAAAATGTGATTTTTTTTTGCAAGATATGTTTTGTGAAAATTGTCGACTCGAATATAATTATCATTAGCTAAGGCAATGCTATTAATCACATATCACGAAATTATAATTCGTGTTATTCGAGTTATGGTCAATCGAATTTTGCTGTGCAAGTAATCTACTTTTGACTGAATGAAATTCCAATTGAACAGTAATATTATTCTAGCAATAGTTTGCTATCAATTCTATCCCAAGACACATAATCATTCTATAAGATGATACATTTAAACATGACAAGCCGTCTTTTACATGTATGATGATGGTGTAAACGCGGTAAACAGCTGTTGTCACAGTTTCTTTAGAAACAACTCATACGATAACATCGATAGTGATTTCCTATCAAACTTGCGAAATTATCCTCCTTTGCATTACGAGTGTATCTATCATCAACGAAAATATAACTTTGATTTTAAATAAAATTGACCAAAAAAATCAATAACTAATGTCTTGGATTGAATTTATTAATTGTCGTTGAACGACACGTTTAAAAAATCAAGAAATGGAAATACTTGCCTGTAGAAGGAACGTGAAGAAGGTGTTACTTTTCACAAAAATCTTTTATTAACCAGGTACGAAAAAATATATTACACTATTAAAATAAGTTATTTTAATATACAAATATTTTATTTAATATTTAATATCAAAAATAATAATCATATATTTCTACTGAAATTTATACAAAAGAGTAGAAAGAATACGAATCTCGTATATATCTTCTAATTAACGTTAATCACCAATTAAATATAGTTATCATGCGCGTGTTGAAGTCTATGCGTATTGTAATAATTGTCATTGCACACGGATGTCGACATTTCCATACAAATATCAAGCGAAGGGTGCTTGCGTCAGTCAGCCAGAGTCAGAGACCGATCACAGCATCCGACGAGCAAAATTTCTGTTATGCGTTACGAAAGCTATGGAAATTTAACAAGTACACATATACATTACTAGACCACGTGCCATTTCTGTTTCTTATCTGTTAGTTACATTATAATACAATATTCGCATAATACATAATCGTTATATTTATCATACTAAGTGATTTTATTCTAGTAGTATATAAAATTATTTTGACAAATGATAATCAATTCAGAAAATATACATGTATTTATATTCATCGTATTATAAAACGTGTGCAATTCAATGTAAAAAATTGAAAAGAACAAAAACGAACAGGAATGTGAATATTTTATTTTTTTCATTTTTAATATTGGTAAAAAAATTAAATCATTTTCTTTTTCTTTTTCTTTTTAATTTGTTTGAAATTGTTCTGTCTATTTCGTTTTATGTACACACATTGTGTAAATTGAATGTATATGTATAGGCATTGTCTGTTTTATTACATGAAAGTGTTGATAAATATTTCTTTCGTGAACATCTTGTAATCTGAGTATTCGTTAATTTTCTATTCCATCAAACGTTTTTTCCTTTTCGAATTTCAAGAAAAAAATATTTTCTTACAATAATTATATAATAAACATTAAATAAAAGTACACATTATAAAAACAATACTTTATCTCATCGATCGAGTAATTAGAACAAAAAATGAACATATGTTATTTATATTATATTTTGTTTCTCAATGATGTTTACTATGTGATTATTTTATTTACTGTATATATTTGATTTTTATTCTATGTAGCTATGAAACTATGAAAATTAATTAATTCATTACTAAGTTTCAGCATAAAAGTTTTTCTCATTTTTATCGATTTATTGTCTATCGATGAGAGAAATAAGTGAAAACAAAATAAAAAATAAATACATAAGAAGAAAAATATATCGCATTTGCCATGGTAAATAAAAAGAAATAAGGTAAAAACAGGAAAAATGTCAAAGAAAAAACATAAAAGGTTGCGGAAACGCAAACTCTGTTATACCTAACAATGTCCACCTCGTTGATGCAAGGTTGACACGTGTAATCGTGTATATTTAAATAAAGCTACATACACACCCTATACACGAGCTTTATTCGTAGGCGTTTATGATCGACTTATATGAGTGAACATGAATCGATAAATTAACGTGCTATCATGTGTGTCTGATGACACGTTCCAAGGCTTGTAACTGTAATAATAAATTCTGCAAAAATGCACGCTTCGATGAAATCTTTAATGACGTTATGTTGACGCAAGATGAATATTATTACGCATAGATAAGATTTTTCGAAAAGATTTCTATACCTCAATAATAATTTCTTAAATTATAAAACTATAAAAATAATAAAATATTCTTCTATATATATTCTATGTTAAAATATATTTCTTTAAAAGAAAGAAGATATCACCAATTTTTCACAGAATTATTAATAATAAATAATAATTATTAATAATATATATATATAAATTATAATTATTAATAATAAATAATAATTTTAAAAAGAATTCTAGAACAATGATTTTCAACTTTAATAATCAAATGTTTATTTTTATTTCAATAATAATATAAATAGCAGAGAAAGAAATTTGTGAAAAAATTTTCAACTTTACATATTTTATGTGATACTTATTGACTTTTGTTGATCGAGCTGATAATTAATGATGTTGCAGATGGTTTGTGGCAGTGATGCCCTCGTCGGAGGAGGAAAGCCAGTG